TAATAACTGTTCCTCTAAGAAGCAAAGTGCTCTTTTACACAGGAGTTAGTGGATTATCTAGGCTTTGTGATTGGTGGAGGAGAGGTCTGCATGGATCCAGCAAAGGTAACTGTAGTTTGGAACTGGCCACAACCTTGGAACCTGAAACAGGTCCAAACATTCCTTAGGTTTGCAAACTACTACTGATGCTTTATTTGAGGCTTCAGTACCATTGCCTGGCCCCTTCATGATCTCACCAGCAAGGATGTTCCTTAGTAATGGGATGATTAGCAGCAGTCTGTGTTTGAGTCCCTCAAGCAGGCTATCACCAGCAAGCCTGTATTAGTAGTTCTAACAGTTGTGGACAAGTTCTGAGTCAAAGCCAACTCTTCCAACTTTGCAAATGGAGCAGTACTGTCCCAGTTCATTGACAGAAAGTGGTGTCCAATAGTGTTCCAATCAGAATCTCTCTCTGCAACAGAATAGAACTACCCTATCTATGACAAGGAACTCCTTACAATTGTCTGTTCCCTGGAAGAGTAGTATCAATATCTCCTCAGTGTAGTGTAGAAGTTTAAGATCTGGAGTGATCACCTTAATCTCCAGTACTTCTGGGTGCCTCAGAAGCTCAACTACTGTTAGGCCTACTGAATGTTAGAACTGTAGGACTACAACTTTGTGCTGACCCACAAACCCAGAACACAAATGACAAAAGCTGATTTACTCTCAAGACAAGCAGGTCATGAAAGGGGGGAGAATGATAACAAAAATCTTGTTCTCCTAGACAATTCCCGTTTTGTGTCTGAGACAATCTAAGAGATCCAACTCAAATCCAAGGATGTTGACTTTGTCACCTGCATACAGTGAGCTCTGAGACACACACAGGACTGAGTTGTAGTAAAGCAACTAGAGAAACAGGCTAGGGATTAGGAGGAGGATGAGGATGGACAGGTTTACTAGGAAGGCCGACTGTACGTTCCAAAGGATTGGAAACTGTAGGAGGACATTGTCTGAGCTCATCACAACAATCTGACCACAGGACATCTAGGTTGACACAAAATGCAGGAACTCATCACTTGGAACTACTAGTGGCCCAGAATACAGAGGGAAATCCTGAAGTATGTGACTGGTTACAATATGTGCCAACAGACTAAGGCTCACTGGACAAGGGTTCAGGCTCCCCTACATCTGTATTGGATCCCAGGTCACCCTTAGGAAGAAGTCTTGGTGGACCTGATTGGTGAGCTACCTGAGTCTTAGGGTTACAATACTATCTGCATGATTGTCAACTGATTCTCCAAGCAAGTCCATACAGTTCCGACCCGAATGGAACTCACTTCCAAAGGCATGGCACACATTTATCAGGATTACATCTTCTGGTTACACAGACTCTCTTGGAAGCTCATTCATGATTGTGGACTGTAATTTGAGTCAAAATTCATACAGGACTTGTATGTGCTTCTTGGAATTCAAGGGAACCCTTCCACTGCCTATCACTCACAGACTGACAGTCAAACTGAGTGAGTCAATCAGGAGATTGAGCTCTACCTCTGGATGTTCATCAATCATCAGTAATTGGATTGGTCTGAATGGCTAGCTCTGGCAGAATTCGTACACAATAACTGGCAACACTCTACAACAGGACAGTCCCTGTTCTTCCTCAATCATGGGAGACATCCATACTAGGGGACAGTTCTGAACTGGAACAGTAGTTCCAAATCTGCAACAGACTTTGTAGAACAGATACACAGAACTAGGGAGGACACACAAGCTCTTTTGGAAAAGGCAGCACAGGTCATGAAGCAGAACTATGATCAGAAGAGGTCTGTGGCCAAGGATTACCAGCCTGGTGACAAAGTTATGCTGGAAGCCACTAACCTGACCACAGATTGCCCAATGAAGAAGTTGGACAACAAGTGCTTCAGACCCTTCGTTATTGAAAAGAAGGTTGGTGCCTCTGCCTACAAACTCCAACTTCTAGCAACATGGAAGTGCATACACCCAGTGTTTAACAAGGTTCTACTATCTTGATACTACAATCTGAGTTTTCCTTTACAACAAAGACCCCTACTGCCTCTGCCAGAACTCATCAGTTCCAAACCAGAATACAAAGTAGAGTATGTAGCAGATGCCAAGCTGGTGTGTGGGAAGCTCAAGTTCCTTATTCACTAGAAGGGATACCTAGTTGAAGAACATACTTGGGAACCTGCTGAGAATCTCACCCATGCTGCTAAGGCAATCTGAGACTTCTATTGACTTCATCTGAGTGCTCTATGTCAACTCTGCCTCACAGATTTCCAAACCCTACTGTTCTGACCTATGCCCAAACTACTGACCAAGCCTAATGCTCACCAATTGGGACGATTGGTTTTAGAGGGGGGGTGATGTTACAGTTCTCTACTCTTGTACCTTCAGTTCTGAGGGTTCTGCACCCTTCTGTACCAGAACTTAGGACTTCCATCCCTCAGGGGTGCTGTCTATGGACTATATACATGCTGACTCTTGCTACTACCCTTCCTTACTTCATCATTCCATTCCTTTGACCACCCCTTCATTCTTTGTATCATTCTATGGTCTCT